GGTAAGCAGATTTCCGAAGAAACTCAATTTATTCTTCTGAAAAAAATATTACTTCGTTCTTCCGTCCCCTGATTCATGGCCATAAATATTCACCAACCCTATGGCATATCTTAAATAAATGACCGACCATCAGCTTCTCAAGACAAAAACTATTCTACTGAATGGAGTCAGTTAAACAACTGCATTTTGAAACGTTGACATATATAAAATCCCGTGTGGAGGTGGGCTAGAACACTTCCATCGTAGCCCTGCTAGTCGTAGAAGGCGCCGGAAAGGAAACTCGATGCCTTGGGGTGAAACTGGACTACACTGTCACTATGGAACATAAATACAGGGACCTAATACTCCAGATTAGGGGTTGGACACAAGGCTGATAATCTTGCTCTGAAAAAATTGAGTGTGGCAAATTCCAAAAGTGTGAAAATCGATGACAAATCTGACATAATCTTCTAGGAAGGTTAAGGTTAAAAAGGGCTGTTCCGCTAATGAAGATGATGATGATGTATATGAAAAATTGACATAAATATCGTTTTTTGATTTCAGAGTTGTTTATATGCAACCTCGTATACTTACACAATATCTGAAGCTCTCACTGCAGTAGCTATAAAGTTCAATGCCTTTTGGGATGAGGCTCGGTATGGCCCTTGCAGGTGTTTACTGACGTTGCGGAGGAACGGTCTGCCTTCATCTTGAGGGTAGGCTATGAGTGCAGTATATCCCTCCGAGCCTGCTTTAACATCCACCAACAGTCGCGCCATAGCTCAAGCGGTTAGTCGCTGGCTTCCCACCGCGGCGGCCCGGGTTCGATCCCGGGTCTGGTCAAGTGGGATCTGTGGTGGACAACATGGCGCTGGGGCAGGTTTTCTCTGAGTACTTCGGTTTCCCCTGCCAATCTTCATTCCACCAATTGCTCCACAATCACCCTCACCTATCATCTGGGGCTGGTACAATAGGCCAGAAGTGGCCGCAGTACAAGGAACTTAGTCCCACCCCCAATAGCAATGAAAAAAAATAACATCCACCAGATTACACGGTGTCATATCCCAGAAGACATTAACCTTCATATAAAATGCTGACTAACCGGATATTTAAGGAAAAATGTTGTACAGTATTATGCATTGAAAGTAACACACTGCCGTCATCAATCCAGAGTTCACGGGGACAGTGTGTATGATGCATACTAACATCATAGTAACAAGCGTGTAACTCTCTAGAAAACCAGCTTCCTTTTATGGAGTTCGGTACCTGACAAACGGACAGTTGCTACAGCCAAAGACACTGGTAACTTTAAGGTTGTAACGCGGAAGAGGAACACCTGCTTAGGTATGTTCATATGTTCCGCATCTCTGGGCACACCTTCGGCGCGCCTTTGTCATCCGGAATTCTGCCACAAATCTACTGTTCAGGACTCGAGCTGGCGGCCCTCTGAGGAATGCAGTTGTGCTGAATATTTGGATTTTGCAGTGAGATAAACAGGAAGATGGAGAAAATTACATACGCGATTCATAATCTTTTACTTCCACCAAATATTATTGGGGTTATGGGTGTAAAACACATGGATGAAGTAAAAATTGCATACATAATTTTAATCGGAGAACATGCAGGGTTGAGAAAATTTGAGGGAAGATAATATAACTGATTGTAAAATCAGCGTATGGGCTGGGTATGGCTCAGTATAGTGTCCATTTGGGGTGGATCTTGTGAAAGTACAAATGGTCCTTAGGGTTCCACAAAATATTTAGAATATTTTATACAGGTAAACAACGTCTTCTCAAGAAAGAGCCTACTTCATGGAGTTCGACAGTTAGTTAGTTAGTTAGTTGTAACTTAAATAAGTAGGTCCAAAATTATATGGAACATCTTCATTTTTTATTTTGTACAAAATTATAGCTTGATAATATGCCTGAAAATGTACACCATCGACTGTTCTTCATTATTATGAAATTAGGAATTATTTTTTCGGTAATTATAAATTACATGCCTTATTTTTATCCACTACATCAAAGTCTCTGAATTAACTGCATAATCAAAATCAGTAGATTCCGTTCATGTATTCATGTATTCATATATCCTGTTTTAATAACTTCCAACTAATGCCCAGATCAAGCATCTCTCTCTCTTTCCTTTGGAACAAAGGACATCCTTGAAAAGTTTTGTTTCGCTTCAGTTTCTTAATCATAACACAGTCGGTAGGACTCCTTGGACGAGGAATCACCCTGTCGCGAGGCCGCTAGCTACACACAGAATAAACGCACACACAGGCATCCATGCCTTAAGTGGGATTCGAACCCACGATCCCAGCGTTCAAGCAAGCGAGCCTTAGACCGCTCGGCTACTGTGATCGGCCAGATAAAAAAATACACCCACTCTCCCCATGTGTTCATGGTGTAGTGCTCAATTAGTTAAGCACAGGAATAACTTTTCCTTAGTTCTAGCTGTGAAGAGATGTCACTTTTGACTTGTTGGATCTCGTTATATCCGGATGTTCATGTATAATTTTAACAGACCACAAACACCTTCGTCTGCTCCTTCGTAATCTGCCGTCTGTTACGTTCAGAAATATGATATTGTAAAAAGATATAATTTATATAATAAAAAGTTTAAATTCGATCATTCATTGTGAAGGGAAAGCATAAAACAGGTGACAGGAGAAGGCAAATCAGATGCACTTCCGCTGGCAATCTTTGTGTCAACATGTGTTAACCTATAAAACAAATCATGCCGTGAGAACACAGCTCGCTCTACGAAAACGCGACCCCGTTACCTACTCTTACCACTGCGCAAGTGTGAACGTAGCCCTACACTCAACAAGGTTCATCCTAACGGATGGTGTCTGTAGAAGATGGCGGTGCGTCACTGCAGACAGAGACCAAATGGTAAGTGAGTGTGGTCGCAGGAACTGGCCGAAATGAAATGAAACAAAACACTACAGATAAATAACAGGTTTATAATTTCTATTAAAATATTTCGACAAAATAAGTCTACAAATATTACACAAAATTATAAACAAATAGTATATATTTATTAATGAACTGAAATGAAATAATGCCAAAATCAGTACTTAAATTTTCGCCGTAACAAGCTGCTCAGCTTAGAATTTCGACAAACAGTTAATAAAACTGAAAATAACTGCATTTAGTTTCATTATATACATATATATCACACATAAAATGTAGGAACGTTTGTATATGTACAGTACGTATATCTTATGAATTAATCGTAAACAGAACTCAACACAATAAAACAAAATTTAAAAACTGGAAGTGATATTTACAATACCCAACATGGATTTGGGAAAATGGCATAATTATATAATATATTTCAAGCATGACATGCAAAATTGAAAAGAAAAACACATTCCACACTGATAGTTCATGTGATGTGAAGCCACCACGTGGGAATCTGATAGATTTAATCGTAAATCCTGCACTATTAACTAGGAAGCAGAAGCTTAGTTTTTTGGGGCAATTTACAATCGTTCATTTACAAAAAAATGTATACTGCATAACTTATTAGTATAATTATTAAATTAAGTTTTCTATTAATTTTTAAATAACATATTGGTCCTATACACTTGCTTTATACTTAATAACAATAACACATGAAAATCTAACCTATTAAAAACAATATTAGTAGCTTTATATATAACCTTAATTTATCTGTATATATTCAGAATTAACCTTCATACAAGCCAACAATCAGAATTTTAATGCCTGTATTTGAGCAAGTAGAATATAACTTTGTGCGAATTTAACGGTGTATAGACTTGTGTCTGCTAAGCCTAGGGACACTTTGGCAATTAAATATAAAATAATATGTGCTTAATCTGGTGAAAATTGTTTGCTAATTGAGAGATTTTAAGCTTTTAAGTATATTACCAGTGAAACCACTACAGCAAACAGACATCAGGGAGAAGGGAGCGGGGTAAGAAATTACGTACTAGCAACGGCTTTTGAGTTTGGGAATACTGTAATTTCTTTTTGATAATACTACTTTATTCAGTTCTGAAATTCTTAGCTATAAATTAAAAATGTATGCAATTCCTAAAACATAGTTAGAAAATTAATTTATATTGTTAGATGTAAGTCTATTAATGTAACAATATTATCCCAATTTTAAACACGTTCACTAATTCACTAATTCAACTTTTAAAAAGTTCTATCGATATGTTTCATGAGCACTACACTGGTATTACATGTAATTGGCAATGGAAAGTACAAGTTCGGAAGCTATGGAAATGTAGACCTCTGGCTTTCATAACGTTTTCCAAAGCAACAGAGTAAAACAATTACGCATGTTTGCGCGGTTAGGGGCATCCGCCTAAAGTGCCCTATTGTTCTGCAAATCACTTCCCACGGTGAATGCACTAATAACTGTTGTTACCTGCGGACTACCTCACTGCAGGAACTCAAAGCAGAGGCGTGACTTAAAATATTGTAATAAATACTAAATACATCTACTTCAACTGGATTCAAATTTAAATTTACGTGTTTCTTACCAACATTGTAACAGGTAGAACGGTAAATGTCCCTAAATTAACCATAACCCCTCTAAGTGGAGGTAAAGCTCTACAAGTTAACAGCTTCACGCTTTGGATGTCTTATATTCCGAATAAGAGCCCACTGAAATGATAGCTGGATAGGGCCAGAGCTGGTTTCAAAGCTATGACGAAGAGAAAATTTTGCAACAAATTTACCAAGATTTGAACTCCTGCCATCCAGTCGGAAGTCAGCTTCTTGACTAGTGTGAAGCTATGGATCATAACTGTAAATACAGTAGTCACTATACTTAAAGAGAAGTTATATTTTCAACAATTTATTTAAGGCTTTATTTAACAAATAATTTTTCAATCGTGAATGGTTAATAAACCTAAATAAGTCTATTAATCTGCTCTGCTTTGAACGAAGAAGGTAACATCGGTCAAACAACTGGTAAGCGTGTTTAGTGTACATGCGTGCTCAATTACACGCTGGCGAGGCGCTGACTGACGTTTAACTCACCGTCTCAGACGCTAAATGTTTCGCGTTCTTGTGCGGCTGTTGGCGTGCAGGCAATTCTCCCGCCAGATCACACACTTTCCGGACCTATTTACACAAGCCACACGGTCAGTATTCCGAGGTGGGGGTGGAACAACATTACCCCATAAACATTACACTCCACACTTGTGCCGGCGGCCCTGGTTCGATCTCAGATCCAGGTCATATGGGATTTGTGATGGAAAAAGTGGCACTGGGGAAGGTTTCCTCAAAGCGCTTGGATTTCCCTTCCAAATTCTTATTCCTCTAACTGCTCCAAATTCATTATAATTGTAAATTACATTACGATATTACGTACAGTCTACCTCTACCGACCAGAGTCCTCCTTGGGAAGTTACCAGTCCCTTAATTGTCCAAGAAATTCCCCGTCTTTTATGAAACCAGAATGCTCATTGTCGTGTCCATCACTGGACACTGTCCTAAGCCAGATGTAATCAGTCGACACACACTTTCGCCATATTTGTTTAAGATCCATTTTAATATTATCCTGTATCTAGTCTCCAGTCTCCCATGCTGTGTCTTCCTTTCAGGTCTTCCGATTGGACTTTTGTGTGCATTTCTTATCCCCCCATGTGTATTGCCTCATGCTCCCTGAATTGGTAACCCTAATAATATTTGGTAAAGAGGATAACTTATGAAGCTCCTGATTACGTATTCTTCTCCAACGTCCCTGTACTCCTTCCATTACAAATAACTGACTTGGAAAATAAGCGCACGGCTCTCCATTCTTGTCATAAATTAAATAAAGATACTTATGATACAGAAATATGTTTGCTATCAGTTGTGAGTTTAAAGATTTTCGGTTTAAAAAAATACAGTTAATGAAAGTATAGTAAATAAACTCTGCACATGAAAGATTCGAAAGTTGTTTACCAACAGCATGAAAAGCATTCTAAGAGTATCGTGCCTGTCTGTGACCCTGATTAGGAATGTATCTGTATCAATTTCATACTGAAAATATGTCAGTGAAACGAGAACGCAAAACCATACCCCCGGGCGGTAACGTGTAATCACGTCTGTCTCCACCCTCACAAGACATTATGAAACTTCCTCAGTTGATATGATCTAATTAACCTAAGGACGTATAACTTTGACCTGTGCCCAACTACCTCAGCCATCTGTATACGAGGGGGGAGTCAGTAAGTCACAAATGGAAGTAATAGGTTTTCTGTGTGTATCACTAGGTAGCAACACAGTCCAGCTTCATGACAGTTTAGGTAGCAGACGCGCATGCTCATGCTCCTCATGCTCTGAGGCTGGTTTAGGCCGTCAAAATGGCGACTGTGCTTGAGGAGTGGGCTTCCGAAGAGCAGCGTTATCTTGTGCGTCTTTGTGGGCAAAAGGACTCAATGCAAAGAATATTTATAGAGAAATGTTTTTGGTGGGAAGTATTTGTCGCGTAAAGCTGTTCATAACCAGGTGGAAAACATTTCGCTGATAACGAAGAAATCGAAATGGATGTGCGGATGTGGCTGAGACAACGGCCAAAAGACATATGTTGTGGGTTTCAGCGCACTGGTAAAACAGTGGGCAAAGTGTATCAATGTTGGCGGAGGACATGTCGAGAAGTAAATGTTCTTTCAGGTTCGAATATCATGTGCTTTACGTTTCATATCCATTTGTGAACTATTTGCTGACTCCCCTCATATATGCACGTCACATTTTGTCGCGTGCCGTCAGTAGGCAAGAGAAACCTGCAGCGTATATTCCTGTCGTGTACTCGAAGGTCTCATTATGGACACCAGCCAACAGTGTGAAGGAATGTATCAGTCGACGTTCGAAATTTGTTCCATTTACGGCTGGCCGATAATCTACCCTCGTGAGTAGGAATGATACTGACGTTCAAATTAAAATAAATTGTCTCTGGGCTTAATTAATTAAGCACAACGCCATGAAGACGTATGTGAGAGTGGAAGTACAAATCCACGTATCCTTAACCTCAGCACCGAGATGAATGGTCAGCTTCATGCTTCGGTCTCTTTAACCCCGGAAAATTAATCACCGGTATCCTTTGCATAGGAAACTAGGTGGTCCACAGAACCGATATGGACGACGTGGAGAGGAGAAAAATCTTGCACCCACCGGGACTCAAAGTCCGATCCCTTGGCCGTCCAGCCCGTAGCCAGTCGCTATACCGACTGCGCTATCCATGCTCCCTGATAATGGTGCCGTACTTGAAGACGGAAACTGATAATGCATCATAAAATGTCTGTTATTTTGATGATGTTCCAATGTATTTAGTATTAGAGACTTAGTTTTGAGGAGCTGGGTTCTGTGATCTGCATAACTTACGATGTTACTGTTAGTCCGTTGGATTAAAGCAGGGATAGAGAATCTTTACAGTACCTGCTGCCCGATTTATATCAGAAGTTACTGATAACAAGTGACGCTAGCTAGGGCAATTGTCTCAGCGAGATAATGCACTTTTTCACACTTTTCTTAAGTTCTTGGCTTGTGTGCGGTTGTGTTGGCTGCGACAATAATGACAAATAAAAACAAACTCCGTGGTCTGTAGTCCGCAAGCGAACTATACCGACCGAGCTACCGCCGCTTGTCGGCGAAGCTAGTGCCAACTTTTGCGGATAGAGAGTGTCACGTGGTCAGCGCAACGGATCCCCACGGTCGTTAATCTTGGTTTTCTAGACCGGAGCCGCTATTTCTTTGAAATTGCTCCTCAATTATCGACAAAAATGACACCCATTTCTTTATTGAAATAATTCTTACGCCCTCATTTCATTTACCCACAGTTCAGAATAACCTAGAAGATTCTATTTGTTGTGGTTGTATATTTGTTGTATTTTTTGTAGTTGTAATTGTATTTACATTGTAGTCATTGTGTGTAGTGTGTCCTTTATTGTTTGTGTAGTTCTGTGTGCTGTGTTTTGTTTGAGTGTGATGTATTATTTTGTGTGTTGTGTCTCATTGTAGTACTACTGCCAGCGGATAAAAACCCTGGGGTCGACTCAGTCTCTAACAGAAATAAGTACCAGGAATATTTCTGATGGGGTTAAGGGCGGCCGTCGCGTAAGTCTGACAACCTTACCGCCATCTCTGGGTCGATTGTCTGGAGAATGTGAAAACCTCAACATCTCACAATCCTACGGATCTCCACGGCCTGTTACAGGGATAGCTTTACTTACTTTTATGCTATAAATATATTTCGCATATATATTTGAAATAATTTCATCAAGATATAATGTTTCATTTTATTTCTATGTGTGCCATTGTAAGAACGTCAGTTGTCATCAAAGCACGGCCTCTACGACCCACAACCTTATGGGCCTCCGCGGGTTGGTACATGGGGAAGTTTTTTTAAAAAATACAAGGCTATGTTTTCTTGCAACTGGACTATTTTTCTAGGTTACCACATTTCTCGGTATTCGTGGTGGATACATGAAATACGATAACAGCCACGGAAACAAACCATGGCTTGGTGAACTATTGAATTATCATTAACATGTGACTCCAGACATTAACATAGACAAAACCTGTAATCAGAGATGCCTACCAATATTTCAATAGGCGCCAGTGTTTCGAACACTTCCGTGGGAGTACAACCCGTATGTAGGCTGCATCCTGTTGCCTTATATTCACGCAAGGACACAAGAATATGTGACAGGATAGGGTGTACTGCGTAGCGTATTGCCGGTATTCGAAAGTGAATATAGCTGAATCACCGAATAGCACCGTCGACTTGGTGGAACTCCTGTTTGTACTCGGGAAGTCACGGATAGCTCCCCAGAGACCGCCTATGTTGAATGCGTTCTTTCGTGGTTTACATCAGTCCCTTCAGGCAAATGTCGGTACAGTGATTCCAATTAGGCCACGACCACTTCTGTCCATATTCTTTTTAATTCATTCTTCATTAAACATCCTAGGCCGTGCCACAGCTCAGGCGGTTAGTCACCGGCTTCCCACCGCGGCGGCAAGTGGGATTTGTGGTGGACAAAGTATCATTGGGGTAGGCTTTCTACGAGTACTTCTGTTTCCCACAATCACCATCTATCATGTGGGGCTGGTACAATAGGTCGAACAGTGGCCGCTGTACTGAGTGGACTCAGTCTGAACCCATGAGAAAAACAATAAAAACCATCCTAACATTCAACACTATAGGTAATGACAGCGGTGTTAAATAAACCATAAATACAGTAGACAGAAACAAATGAATCGGTTGGTTAGAGATGGGTGCATCCCCAACTTATGAAAGCGGCTGTCTGCGAACCTCACATCCAACAGATATGTTCCCTTTTCTAACTAACTGATACAATTTACATTTTCGTATTTTGAGTCTCTGCGAAACAACAAGTAGCTATGTTAAGAATCTTTGAAAAATAAATAATGGTTTCAGGGAACATCTAAAAGGTAATAGGTCCAAATATTTCTTGTTATTTATATCATCGCCATTGGCAAAACGGCTATTTCTTAATATTTGCATGAAAATCTCAATGCGAAAACAATTTATTATTCGCATATCTTCGCTAAAGACCAAGCAGAATTACTGCGAGACCACGTAACAATGCACTTCAAACAATTGTTGTCCTCAGCTGTAAACGTCTGTTCAGATATTGATTTTTTAATTCTATGCGTCCCATAAAACTGAAAGCAGACAATTGCAGCCTTCTTGTTTACGTTTAAGAACATGTTCACAAACAATAGTCTACGAGCAGTCAGTTCGCGGAACTGAATGTCTACGTACAGACTTCATATTCACTGAAATAAGTCCCCCATTGATGTTCACAAATATTTCTTCTACAACAGATCTTCACCGACAAAACCATGAACCTTGACTAATTAATTACTCGTATTCAGTGATGTAAATGGCTTTACAGAAATACGTAGACGCTTCAGATCGATAGAAATCCCTTAGAGAACTACCAATACATATTAAAACGAAATTATTACAATATAGGCTCGTTAATTTGTTCCTACATGCACTGTTGTCATGTGATGTCTTAAAAGAATTAGAAACAGCTACCTCAAAATGAAACAAGAACGAAGTAGACTGTGTCTACCCTCATTCCCAGCCCTGGGCCTAACTCGATGGAGAGGGGTCTCTCTTGAGAAAATTATAGTCACTTATGTGATCAAGAAATTTCCAGCTGTTTACACGCAGGAGAGTCAGCAAATAGGTCACATATGGATATAAAACGTAAAACACGTGATATTCGAAGCTGTGAAAAAATTGTTCTTTCGACACATCCTCCATCAAGACTGATACATTTGTCATATCGCATCGAAACCCGCGGCATAGTAGTCTTTCTACTGTTGTCTCAGCCACTTTCACACCCCGTCGGGCATCATCTGCGACTTTCGAACGTAATTCAAAGAATTCCTCGACCCAGTTGTGAACCGCTTTACGCGATAAACATTTCCCACCGTAAATAGAAAACATTTGTTTTTTAATGTCCTTTTCATGAGTCCTTTTGCCTACAAAGAAGCGCACAACAGAACGCTGCTCTTCGGTAGTGTACTTCGAGCACGGTCGCCATTTAGACTACTGAAACCAGCCTCTGAACATGCGCGTCTGATATCTAGACTGCCATGAAGCTGGACTGTGCTGCCACCTAGTGACACGCGTAGAAAACATATTACGTGAATTAGAGCTGTTTACTTCCATTTGTGACCCTTTACTGACTCTCCCTCGTAAAACCCGATGTTTCCCTGAGTATGCTTCTAAGTCCGAGGCCGTGTGTAACATACGCAACATAGCACTTCTTTAAGATTAGGGGATGTTCCCCTTTGTTAGACCCCGCCAAGCTTGAGCCCCCTCTTCTCTGCTGGCCGCGGCTGGCGGCGCCTCCATACATAGCCCGTGAACTCGGCAAGCGGCCGATTTAACGCGGTTGGACGTACCGGCATGTGTAATGAGTCACTGTCCTCAAGATTCTTCACGATTCAGTACACGACTCTCAGCTTTCAGTGCTCGTTGTTAACAGCGTTGTTGATAGATTCTTGGAGCCCCACTCGCTCACACCAAAACATCACTCATCTATACTTTCCTGCCATTGTATTCTGCATACACACGTGTTAATACATATTAGTCATGACTGGGCCTCTTTCAGTCCACTGACAGTACGAAATATACATATTAGTCATGACTGGGCCTCTTTCAGTCCACTGACAGTACGAAATATACATATTAGTCATGACTGGGCCTCTTTCAGTCCACTGACAGTACGAAATATACATATTAGTCATGACTGGGCCTCTTTCAGTCCACTGACAGTACGAAATATCTGTCAACAGTGAAAGTGGAAGTCACACAGACCGTTGCGTTCTAATGACAGCAGAAAACATCTCTTGAGTCTTGCCGTCCTTAATATCAGGAAATTTTGCTTCTCTTGGGCACAGGAATGCCCAGACTGTATAGTTCCAGTTCGACTGTGATAAAATAAATACCGTTGTCATTTTAAATGACGATTATTGCCGTTATGTTCAGAATCATCATCCGCATCATCATCGTCACGAATGGTAATATTATAATAAAGGTATGAAACAAACACAATCATAGTGTACTTAATTAAACAACTACCATGCCTTGAGTACGTCTGGAGGCGTGGAGGTGTGACTGTTATCTTAACCTCTCCATTAGACGAAGATAGGTGGCCGGCTTCACACCCCTGCCATTTTATTCGAGGGGAACGCACCCCGGTACCTATCGGAAGCTGGGAGGGCCACAGAGCCGGCCTAGACGCCTGAGGGAAGAGAGAAATCTCTTGCCCCTCGCGGAAGTCGAAATCAAATTCTTCTCCCGTGCAGGCAGTAGGCCATTCCCTATACCGACTGAGCTGTCTTGACATCATATACGTACATAAAAACAAAGTAAATTTGATAGATAGAACCAAAGATAAATAGATAGAAATAAAGACAGAAAGCAATGAAGGACGGAAATAATCAGCAGTTTTGCAATTCGAGCTTTGAATTTCGGCTTTTCCGTAGTTTTCAGAATTACTTTTCCTAGAGAAAACTATTATTGGTGGGAAAGCCAGAAGGAAAGAGACCACTGGGAAGACCAAGGCGTAGGTGGGTGGACAATATTAAAATGGATCTTAGAGAGATAGGATGGGATGGTATTGATTGGATTGATCTGGCTGAGGATAGGGACGAGTGGAGGGCTCTTGTGAACACGGTAATAAACCTTCGGGTTCCATAAAATGCTGGAAATTTCTTGAGTAGCTGCAGAATTGGCGGCTCCTCCAGAAGGGCTTAGCTCCATGAGTAAGTAAGTAAGTAAGTAAGAGAAAACTATTTGTGAAACACCCTGTAAAACTGGGTGGGGGTGATCCATTTAGAGTGGGAGGTAACTTCCTCCCTTCGATCATGGATGTTCAAGTTGCGGAAACTTAACATTCTCTCTCGTCCTTCCCCTACTTCCTTAGCCTGTTTCTTTAGAGGGACCGCGCGGTTTGAATCAGTTATTGCCTTGTACTTGCTCAAACAACTGGATGTTGGTTTAAATCTCACTCCGGCATTGTTGTGTGACTAGGTTTCTTCTGTGTAGGTGGAAGCCTTGCAATCGGCCGATCCCCCGACCTAGGAGTCCTACCGATTCTAGAAAAGCATTTTCCGGAACCGGGAAAAAGAAAGCCTTGAACAGCATTGGTCTGTACGACCACACTAGAAAACATGAAGATGTCCGCTTTCTGGAACTTGGCGCCGTGTAATCCCGACGAAACTCGGACGCTTCGGCGGAACATATCGCCTCCAAATTCAGGGTCGATGAGTAAGTCAAGCAAGAAACCAGCATGTCGCACGCAGCAAGGAGAGCAATGCTCAGTTTTCGTACAGTGAACCGTAAGTTGAAGCAGACCTATACATACATTTTACTTTTTAATTGATAGTGTGGTGGGACTAAGTCCCTTGTACTGCGGCCACTTCTGGCCAATTGTACCAGCCCCAGATGATAGGTGAGGGTGATTGTGGAGCAATTTGTGGAATGAAGATTGGCAGGGGAAACTTAAGTACTCGAAGAAAACCTGCCCCAGCGCCACCTTTTCCACCACAAATCCCACTTGACCAGACCCGGGATCGAACACGGTCCGCCGCGATGGGAAGCCAGCGACTAACCGCTTGAGCTATGGCGCGGCCTCCATGTTACCTCAGTAATATGTATGTCCTGCAAACGAAACATTATCTTGAACCCCCATTGCACTTCAACTATTTCAGGATGCTACCCATCTTAACACGGAACCCGATCACAGTGCACTTCACACAAAATGAAAGCCAGTAAGTTCTGTAGAGAACTTACGGCCCACGAAAAGGTAAAGCTATCCCTGTATAACAGGCCGTGAAGACCCATAGGTTTGTGATATGTTGAGGCTCCCACATTTTCTAGACAATATGCTCACAGATGGCGGTGAGATTATCAGCATCACGTGCCGGCCGCCCTTTACACCCAGGAAGATTCCTGGTACTCATTTGTGTTGGAGACTGAGTCGACCCCAGGGCCATAAAACGGCTGGATGGATTAAGTCAATTGAAAAATCCAATGACTTCATCACAAATCGAACACGCGACCTTCCGTCTTGTAGTATAGTGCTTCAAACAACTACGCTACTGCATGTCACCTACGGCTCACAAACATATATATGTAATTAAAATCATAGCTTAAGGCAATTGAAAATTTGTCCCTCTGCTTAATTAATTACCCTGCCAAAAATATATATGAGTAGTGGAGGTATAGCTCCATCCTTCTTGATCTCGGCACTAGATGGAGGTGGAAAGAGCCTCCTGTACCCACGGTAGGGAGAAGAGAAAAATGTTGCCCTTACCGAGAAACGAAACCCGGCCACCCAGCCCGCAGTCCGTCGCTATAGCGACTGAGCTATCCCGGCTCCAGAGGCCTAAGTGGATTTTAATTGTGAATGTATGCCCTGTTTCCACTGCTGTTTGCAACCTAGGGACGGGAGCTTGGGTTTCGGTGGGTACGTTGCTCCTTGCCGCACCCTGCCAGTTTCGGCCGGCCTTTCACACGGCTCCCACTTTCACTGCTGTGGGTTCCGCCTTCAGTTTGGGAAAGTGAATGCAGATCTCCGTGCCAGTAACCCTGAGGACCCCTACATCGCCAGCGAGCTATATTTCCAAAGACGCGAAACCGAACCAGGCTTCATGGCCTGAATGGCGGCTTCTAAATTATGTTTAGTTATCTATTTAGCCTTCAATTTTACGCACACAAATTTCTGCATTCTCATTAAAGAAGTTTACATTTTATAAAGTTGCAGCACTATCAGTATTACTAGCTGGAAAAGGAGATTGGATAACTAATTTATATTACGAACATGAAATACGGTCAGTACAAAACTGAAATACATTCAAATCTAAATAATCCATTTAGATGCACTGACAAATGAAAGAATTTCAAACTAGTTCCACGATATAAACTGAAGGGACTCCAATTCTGAAGATCGAATAATTAAGTGAATTTGAAACAGGTTTGATGGCCTATTACGGAATGAAGACTAAGAAGTTTATATCCATGGATATAACATGTCTTGTTTATCTCATCTTCCTTGGTTTGATCATCTCGCTGCAATTCTGTGGAGAATACAAATTATCTATCCATGGTTCTACAATCCTCTGTTGGACCTTGGCCGCTTTTTCAATTTCTTAATCCTATACACAGTCGGTAGGCCTCCCTGGACGGAGGATCAACTCGTCAAAAGACCGCAACCTACATAGAACAACATAAAGAGAATAAACGCACACAGACGTCCATGTCTTGAGTGGGATTTGAATCCAAGGCCCCAATGTTCGAGCAGGCGAAGACGGTTCATGCCTTAGACCGCGCAGATATTGTGATCGGCAGCTCATAAAGCCACAAGAGTTCGTATGAGTCGTGTTCAGAAGTCTCTGCTTTTTACGGTGAGGCCTCGTAGCTCCACCCCATGCTGCAGCATCAGTATGTATTGTACATATAAAGGAAGGGTAATGAAAACCTATGTTCACATTTGTATCACGTCCTTTTGGCTTTAAATCTTTAAATTTTTAAATTTAATGTCTGTAAATTATTGTATGCATTCATGGCTGAAAGGCATTGAGCTATGAAGTTTTTTTTTTAATTCTCTTAGTTGGGATTGACGTCCAACTGGGTCCACTTGGCTCGGCGGCCACTGATTAGCCTATTATTGCCTTTCCCGGGTGATTATGATGATGGAGAATTTGTTGGAATGAAGATTGGCAGGGGAAACCGAAGTACTCTGAGAAAAACCGCCCCAGCGCCACTTTGTCCACCACAAATCCCACTTGACCAGAACCGGGATCGAAACCGGGCCGCCGCGGTGCGAAGCCAGTGACTAACCGCAGCTATAAAGTTTACTTACAGCTTTACAACTAAGAATCGCCTTCGATTAAATCTGTAGTTACAAAAAATCACGTTGGAATGTAACACAAATCATTAGTTGTGTGCTTTTACGGGAGTCATAGCTAATAATGTTTCAACTTTCATTTCCAGGATGAGTTAGAAGAATGAGTGGTGATTAATTAACGATCAGAGCGCACGAAATAGCGGGGAAAGCGAGCCACTCACGGCGCTTGAAGAGAACCGTCCTTCGTTGAATGAAACAAGAGTTAATTACGCTCTTCTTCCAAAGGCTGAAATAACGTTTGAAAATATGACGGGTTTCCAGCTTTCCATTTTAAATAAAGAAACATCCAGTTGTTACAAAGCTCCGAACATTTGCATATATTCCTTCAAGTTCCGGATTCAATTCCTCCATGACTGATATATTTCATACTTTCCTGGTATAAGTTTTAATAAACCAGGCCTGTTCCTTCTACATTCTCCCCAATTCATAATTCAAAGTCATTCCCCTAGTCTACGTTAAAACTTATGTGGCTCACAAAGTAATGTTTAAGTTCAAATATAAGGGAAATCTCTATTTTTCGAAAGAGAAAGTCAGAAAAATAAATTTTTGACAAAACTGAAAACGCAATTTATGTCCGATGGTAATAAGCAAAAAAGAAATAAAAACTATACCTCCGTGGCTTTAGTCCGCAAGCGAACTATACCGACCGGGCGACCGCCGCTTGTCGGCGAAGTTAATGCCCACTTTAGTGGATAGAGAGTGTCAAGGAATCCCAACGGCCGTTAATTTCGGTTTTCTAAACAAGAAATAAAAATTTCAGCGCTTAATAACTTCTATATAGGCCTAACTACAGGCATTTTCACAAATGTCGTTAGGAATAATAATAAGAATTTCTCATAATCGTCATCTTCATAATTATTTTGAAGGACTCGAAAAATAAGGCGAACCCTCCTTCCTAAAAACGGAATTTGAGACAAATCCTCGCCTTATAACCGGGCTAATATGGTACTATTGCATGAAATGTATACATAGTGCTTATCAATCTGTGTGAAGGCTTTATCTTTAAAGCTACATAAATATATTTCATTTAATTCGATCTGATGCTTCAATTCCGTGAAAAATCATATTATGTTCTTCCGGGCTATAATATAGTGTAAATCGGTAGGTCATCCTCAGGGTATAATTCTTATTTTCTATATTATTTTATTTCGGCATTTTAATATATATCCAGACACATTTAAGTTCAAGTTCTTCTTTGTTTCTTCAGTGCTATACCTTATGGTAGGAGGGCCATAATTAAAATAAAAATTATATCCGCTTACTGTTAATCTTTTTTATTGCTAGTGGGGTGGGACTAAATCCCTTGTACTGAAGCCACTTCTGGCCTATTGTACCAACCCCAGAAGATAGGTGAGGGTGATTGTGGAGCAATTTGTGGAATGAAGATTGGCAGGGGAAACCGAAGTACTCGGAGAAAACCTGCCCCAGCGCCACTTTGTCCACCACAAATTCCACTTGACCAGACCCGGGGTCGAACCTGGGCCGCCGCGATGGGAAGCCAGCGACTAACAGCTTGATCTATGGCGCGGCCTACTGTTAATCTTACAATGGAGAAAAAACCATCAGAATTACTGGGTTTTCGAAGTTTGTCCGTCGTCCGATATTCTAGAAGCCAGAAAACATCACGTTTCGAAAACTGGATCTCTTTCCATCCTCAGGTGAGGAGGGTCCTTAGAAAGAACACACTGAGTGGATCAGTGATTGAGGTTAGATCCTTCTAAGGCAGTGGCTCTCAACGTTCACGTGATCGCTGAGCGGTAAATTCATTTCTTACAAGAGGAGGGCCCGGTATATTGATGCCAGGGCCCGGCGGTTGAGAAAAACCGTTCTAAGGAACTAAATATCTCCCCATCACATGAGGAAGGAAACAGATCCAGTTTCCGAAACCTTATGTTCTCTAGTTTTTAAAACACCGGACAATGGACGAAGTCCTAAAACCACTAATNGTTCAAACAAAACACAATACACAAAACACAACAATAAGGACAATAAATATTAAGGCTGAAATTACTCATGCAAGTTGTGTTTGATGGATTAGCCATATTTATATCATTACTAACTACGTGAGAATACGAAACCCCCCATGGATCACACTCTTTCACCTAAACTTCACGACGCAATCACTGTCGTCAGAATCTTAACAGGCCGCGGGACCGGTGGCTCGTAAACAAAACTTCCCGTTATGAAACTTGCATGACGACTGCTGGCTACATATTCCGTAACCAGTCAAAACAGGTGTGGCGAGGATGTGTCAGCATCATAGGATGTCACATTCCATGATTTGGCCTCTCCACTTTCGCTGCAGTGTCTTGCTTACTACAATCCTGCCACGATTTAATGATCACAGGTATCAGCAATGTGCTGTCCGACTCGAAACAGCATTGACCCACAATCATATTTTGGCCAGGAACATTACCAATGGTATATATTTTTGCCAGAACTGCTCCACTAGAAATGTTGGTATGTTCTTATGACTGGATCCTTCGACGTTTAAGTTTGAAATTAATATCTGACAACAGTGCTGCATTCTTCAGCCCAAATTGGGGCTCGCTGCGGCACACTGAGGCGGGGCTATGGATCATTAAATCGCGGCTGAACTGTAAAGAATCTTTCTAACGAGCCATTAATCATCAGCGAATGATAAATCCAACACAAAAATTACTTTAACGCAACACGTGCGTATGTTCTTACAGCGTAGTGGAAGCTAAGCAGAGAACCGTGGCTTTCACGTAATAGAAGTAGTCTTCTGTATTCTGTTGTCTTCATCCATATAGAATTGTGATTATGAGAAAAAATATTAAAGGTCAATTGAGTACTGTATTGTTTAACGATGGAGAACATGGACGGATGCTGCGAGTATTTGAGAACAGGACGCTGAGGAGAATATTTGGACCGAAGAGGGATGAAACTGTGGAAGACTGGAAGAGACTCATAATGAGGAGTTTCATAACTTGTTCCCTTCTCCAAGTATAATTAGACTGATCAAATCAAGGAGGATGAGAGGGGCAGGGCATGTAGCTCGTACTGGGAAAAGAAGACTGCATATATGATTTTGATGGGGAAAAACATGCGGAAAGACACCACTAGAAAGACACACGTAGGCGGGAGGGCAATATTAAAATTGAGCTCAGAGAGCTCTGTTTGATGCCTTCTTAATGCTGGTTTATTGCTTCGATTTTCGATTTTTAAAACGAAGAAAACATGTACCTCCGAAATGTAGGTTGATTTTCAACGGACTACAAAGCGTTATGTCTCAGAAGATAAGATTCTTCTAGGAACTAAATAAGTGGAGAAAAAGAGGAAACGGGAACAGTAGGTACGAAACAGAAAGAAAGACGAAAAGAGGGAAACAAAAACGCCGTGTATTGCCCCACACCCTGACACTGACCCACTCTACAGAGCTCTCAGTAACCTGCTTCACAGGTCACGAAACATTCGGTTGTGTTCTCACAGCCTGAACGCATCCTCCGTGGGGTCGTCGCTGAACAGACACAAAAGCGGCAGTTTCGGGAGATGAGGTTCGCCATTGTTAACACATCACCGTTACCGTCTTTGTACCCGATGAAGATCCGTTATATAATAAACGGAAGAACGAATCGGAGGTTCACTTAAACAGATTCTACCGCAGTCGTGGATCTTGGCATTCCTGAGTCACTGTACGTATACTGGGTCAAACAAATCCGTGACGGGCAAGTAAGCATGGATGTCGAACCGACATTTCCTCAATTTCCGCAATCCCGACTACAGGCCTATATCTAACGATCCGTGACGTCTTTCAATTAACCTTCCTCGATGTCTCGCTACGAACAGACAGCCTCGTATTCCGTCCTTCTGTGGTTCACATACTTTGCATTTGTTTGTAATTTTTTATTAATTAATTAATTAAATTTATAGCAGATTTACAATCAACTCTCGATAATATGGATAATAAGTAAATTTGTTCTAAGTAGGTGTCTTCAGTAGAGAAGTCACCAGCTGATGATACCCTGACAGGTCCTGTAGAGGAATGGTGATGGTTTTAATCTTCGTCACCTGCGGATTGTGGTAGGTCAGACGGCCACTGGCTCCTCAGTCTTCTTCTTACATTTGGTGGGTTGCTAATCTCTGCAGCTAGTCTGTTACTGTGTCCGAGTATGCTTCGGTGATAGAGTGTTGTATTTCTTCTATGGCAAATGGGATTTGCAGATCAAATATTTCCATTTTATGTTCTTACACTGAAAATGAGATGCAAAGTTTCGCAGCCATACCAACGTAACAAGCTGGACATCTCATACGAGACAGTCCAACTACATGGAGAGGAGACTCTGCCTTATGCGAACTCCAGGTCCCACTAGCCCTGTGGGCAGCGTCTGGTAAGGGCATCTTCCCAGGGTCATGTGGCGGGTAGGCAGGACACTTTAGCCACGGTAGGCAAACTGCCTAAAGAAAGGAAACTCTGGATAAAAACACCGACCTCCTAGAGAAGAGGTTTTGCAACAGGCTGGTAACTTGCTCAAGTAATATCCTCAAGGGTATCATGTTTGAGAACTGAATGGACTAACAGACTCAACCATTGCAGATCATCATCATCATCATCATCATCATCATCATCATCATCAAAACAACTAGCACAGTCAGTAGAATTTCCGAAAAGAGAGGACACCGATAAGAATTATAAAGGATTTTAATTGGGATTTAATAATGATATGGGATAAAATTAACTTTTAAATTCTTGTGCCTTTGTTTTAGTAGACATATCGGGTCACACACTGGGACTTCATTTATGCAGCGTCCAGGTTCAGAACTCTACAAAGATGGCTGCTGATGTTTGCGACCGGACATGAAAATTTCCATGACAGAATATCCACTTGCACTTAATTCTTTATTAGTTAGAGGAGCATTATTTTCTGGAATGTGAAGCCATATAGTTTATTAGAAATTCCCTTACATTTCGGTGGAACGCAGATAAATTCCTACCAGACTACACGGCATCTCATCCCAGAAGAGAATCTCACACTCTCTATAGGTGCCTCCGTCAGAACCTCAAATCATGCGTTCGTTAATTTATTTATCGACACATTGTCTACTAGATATACTTATTGTGGCGTATAGACCCCTTGCTAGCCAAAGACCTCGAAACAAACAACGATACAGCAGCCGTTGCTATGCAAGGGCACGGTAAATACATCTCTACAACAGTAGTCTATAGTCACACACCCCTAATTCGTGACAATATGTAGCTTAGGTCAATGTGACCTTCAATTACAGATTACGAGCAAGCAGAAGGATGGAGCTGTGGTACATTTTGAGATACACATGTG